GGGAGTTTCATAACTCCTCCTGGTTTACTTAGGTACGACTTAACTTGTTTCCAACATAGTCCGCTCAAATGAAGGACTGATGGCCAACGTCACCCTATTTTCTGATCAGAGCACGAACCGTGCGAAAATGTTGACTAGTACCACACTATCTCTGCGTTTTTCGTTTCAGAGATAGGTAGAGGGAATAAACGTCATGACTGACTTTAATCCATATATACGTGCTTGAAGCTTTATGACATTCGTCCTGTGTATTGTGTCAAAATGTAAAAAAATTGTGCAGTAAATTCGTTATCTTGCTATTGACTTCTCACATTTTTCAACCTTATAAATGTGTGATATGACTATGGTCAATGTCTAAATTATCCACATTTTTATGTGCCGCAGAAATACGTGGTGAGCAATCCTCACCCACAATTCAACAGACATTGGCAATGACTTTAAAACTTCACGGAGCCTTCACTGCTCTCGTGACTCCATTCACAGATGACGGAAGCGCGGTAGACTACGCTCAATTGCGAGCGCTTGTGGAATGGCAGATCCAGGAGGGTATCAACGGCCTTGTTCCGGTAATTTTTGTTGTATGCGTGATTTTTATGCTGGTTTAGGCTAAGCTGCGTGCGGTGCTGCATGACGATGACAGATGGGTACAACAGGTGAATGTCCAACGGTCACGCACGATGAGCATGATCGCGTAATTGCTGAGGTGGTGGCCGCTGCCAATGGCCGCGTGCCTGTTATTGCTGGCACGGGCTCCAACAATACTGCCGAGGCGTTGCGCCTCACGCGTGCTGCGAAAGAGCACGGTGCCGACGCCTGCTTGGTGGTGTGCCCCTATTATAACAAGCCTACGCAGAAAGGCTTGTATGCTCATTTTAAAGCTATAGCCGACGTAGGTCTACCCGTAGTAGTGTACAACATTCCAGGCCGTACCAATGTCAATCTGACGCCACAGACGATTGCTGAGCTCTACAAGCTACCAAACATTGTTGCTATCAAAGAATCCACCGGATCGCTGGACCAAGCTATGGAGATTGCTGCATTGTGCGACATAACCATCTTGTCGGGTGATGACAACCTGACTCTACCACTCATGGCTGTGGGTGCCACAGGAGTCATTAGTGTGCTATCCAATGCATGTAAGCAATGTTCAGTACTCTTTAGTTGTTTGTACTTATGTTATATCTGAACAGCTCCTAAGAAGGTTTTGGCCATCACTGACTCAATGCTAAAAGGTGATTACGCCGCTGCTCGCAAAGCTGCTTTGGAAAATGTACGATGTTCGGTTGAGTGTTATCATACCACTAAGACTTACTAACTGATCGTACTTTCACCGATATCTAGACATTTCTTGTAAAGTCCCTTTTCGGCGAGGCCAATCCACAGCCTATCAAGAAGCTGCTGCAACTAATGGGAAAGTGCTCGCCTGCTGTGCGTGCTCCGCTGGTGGAGTGTGAGCCTTCAACTATTGAAAATCTTACCAAATTGGCCAGTGAGCACCAGCTGATATAGGACAATTGGAATGGTGAAGGGCGCACTTTCGCAACTTAGTATGTGCTAAAAAAGTAAAAAAAAATAGAATGATTACCAAACGCAATGAGTAGAAGTTATATATCGACATCAAAAGCAAGCAATTGGAACTGAAGGTGCAATCAAGACCGAACACTTAATTACTCGTTGACATAATAGGCACTGATTACTAGATGACCAAATACTTGCTTAGTACTGGCTGATGTCACTGGATCGGTCCAAACTCGAGGCAGCACTGAAACGACTAATGCGCGAGCCTTCGCGGCTGTAAGATGACATACCGGAGCTGTATGAATCGACACTGGAGCGCGAGGTTCGGAAGCCATATGAGTCAACCGACACCTCACTTTGCAGTCGGGACTGGCCCATGGCTTTCGAAAAATCAGCAGTATGAAAATTTTCGGTATCGTGTTGCTCCTCTGTCACATGGTAGTCTTCAGTGAAGCGAGCGTCAGTAGGGCGAGAGGACATTGAAAAACCAAGGCCGCGGTTCGAGTCATGGTCGCTTGTGTCTGTTACACGTGACGTCTTATCTTCGGAGTATCTGCTAACTGTGCTGTGTCCTCCAAAACTGCTCTTCCTCTGAGTCGATTTTTCATTCGATTGAAGACGGGATCTCCTGTTCGCCGGAGCTGGCTCGTTCCAATCATTTGGCTGCAAGTACTGTTTCTGTCTCGCCGACACAATTGAGTCTCCGAAATTGGACATCGATGCTTCACTTTGGCCAGCAACAGAGGATATGTTGCTGACGCGAAAGGTATCTTTCTGGATTCTGTTACCGTGGCCCAAAGCACCATAGCTCGCCTTGTCCGAATACTCATCGGTATCCAGACTGCTCTTGGGGAGAGAGTGTGCTGCAAGCTCTGATCCTCGCTCGGCCGAAGGCATCATTACGACGGACGATTCCTCTTCCATCATTGTCGTTGTTCCGTTGTTCTTGTTACGAGCGGTTATGTTAGCAGCGTAAGTGAGATCAACCTTGCCACCATGATCATCCATGTCGCTAGGTAGGGAGCCCTTACCTTGCATACGTTGATCTTTGCGACGGCATATGACGAAGGCAAAAGCTATAAAACCAATTACACAACAGCCTACTCCTACGGCGACAAAGATCATTCCGTTATCTTTGAAAAAATTGTGTTTGCCACTAGAGGTTGACGCTGACTTAACCACTCCCGGGTCAATTGCATTAGTCTCTTTGGTTTTCTCATTGGAGCTTGTCACAGCCGGAGATGTCGGCTCGTTTAAGGGGTCGGAGTTAGCTCCTTCGTTTGCATTTGACTCTTTGTTCGCGTTTTGCTTGTCCAAGTCATTCTTCGGCGCAGTCTCACTGGCATTCATACTGTCAGGCGATGGAGCCGAAGGATCTACAGAAGATGAAAGCAGTAGTGTAAATTGTAGCTGAGCTACAAATCTTAAGTTCTAAACACTACCTGATGTGGGCATCGATGGGTTGGCGGACATGACACTAATCTTCTTGAAAACAATATATTCTTCTGCTGAAAGGTCCAGCGTACTATCACCGGGCAGAGAGACTAGGCCTGCAATGATGTAATCACCAGCGAGCTTGAGAGAAAACGTGTTCGTCTCTAGCGACTTGGTTCCATCCGGGGAAAAAGGGCCAGTGCTCGTGCCATCGGCGCCTGTGGGTGTACCACCGACGTTTGTTGCACAATTGGTTCCGAACGTGCAAGCGAACAGCGACGACATTAGCACGGCACCAGGAAGTTTTGTGGCTGCATCAATGGCGTTCGGAAAAATGGCATTTGCTAGACCTGAGTTCATCTTTGCCGCCCATTTGACAGTGATAAGGTCATCCACGCGGAAATCTGGGGCTGTAAGTGTGAGAGTGACACCCACAGGACAGCGACCAACGTTACTAGCTTCAAGCGATTCGAAAGTGAGCGTGCCCACCGAACCATTGACGGCTGATACGCCCATGCAGTATGTTGTCGTTCCGTCATGTGTAAGCCCGTTGTCTATGTCAATTGCTTCGACACATTTGAGGAAAGGGATCGCCGCCACTGTTGTTAGCACAGAAATGAATTTCATGTCTTCAGCTAGAAATTTTGTCGAACGAGTCCAAAGCCGAGCCTGCGTTCCAGTTATCAACTTCTGGCACGGCTGATCCGCTAGACTCCTTCGATTGTATCGAGATAGTTTACACACAAAACAATGAGCGAGTGGCCACAATCTAGAAATGACTCTCCAGTGTAATGGTCAGGGTAGGAACGAATAGTTGGAAATGCAGTAGCATCTTCAAATACTCACGTGCTCTACGCCACATGCAAAGCAGCTGTTTTTCCCCAGCCGCAAACAATGAAACATCTGTTAAAGTCGTGTAAGATATTGTGGAAGTTGTATATGTAACAAGTATTCAGTCATGGAATAGCTAATGGAGGTAATACTAATTTTACAGAAAAAATCTTTGAGATAGCTGCTGCCAATAATATTTAAGGACCTGAAAAAGGTCACGTACAACATGTGTTGAATACTCTGGAGTACAACACAATAAACCTAGAAAAGGAAGGCGAACCCTTTTTGCAAATTTTACTGTAATTTAACAGTTTTTGACATTGCGACCGTACTATGCGCACAACGCGACGATGCGATCGCGCAGACATAGGTGTGAGGAAGCCCTGAGACTTAGACAACGATTTGACAGCAATTTTTTCAGAAAACGTCGTATGGTGCTTCGCAGACCATCAGAGAACTCGCCGACCAAGTCATCTCGTCAACTTAAAACTTCTAGAATTTTTATTAGATTTTGTGAGAGCCGTTCGGTAGACAATCAAGGTTTTCTATGATAAATTTGGCGTGGTTGCTGCGCACGATTGTACAATGCACCTGGTTTTGCACTATTTAAAGAAAAAAACGTCTCGTCGTTACAGGTAGCTAGCTACTCCATGTAACGATGAATTTACTAATCGCATTTTGCTTATTGGTCAAAGTCGTCAACAAAATATGTATGCTGTCATTGCCGCCATTGTAACAAGCGCTAAACAGAAACAATGCGTTCATGTGCATTGACATTTATTCAGCAAACAACGACTGGAGATTGCCATGTCCGACTTACGAAAACTCAATAAAAATACCAACATACTTTTGCTGATTCTCCGGATACTATGTCGACACAAAGTCCGTCGGAATTGGTGATAGCACGGCGGACGCTTCGACAGCAATGACATATCGATTCAGCTGCTACTATGGTTCAACGGGTGGGTGACTCTTGCGCGGCAAGCAACTTGACGTTTCCATAGTACGGCGATTTGTTCGTTCGATAAATGAACATGATGCACGCTCTCACCGCAATAGCTGCGCTTTTAGCTACATCCTGCCAACAAGTCACGACTTTGCAATTGCCTTCGGAGTGAAATTACTGTCTAGACGCTTTGACATTTTTTTGGCAATGTTTTTGTCGCGATCTGTGCAGGTTCAGCTTGTAGTATCAACATCGCTTGGTCACTAACTGGTGTCATTGCCACATTAAGCGCGTAAAATTGTATGGGAGCCATCACGCAAGCTTTATTGCCAAGTTTGGACGTTTTTTTTTATATTTTCAACGAGCTTATTATATCAAACAAGCCTCTGAATATGCCTGTTCTTTCTACAGGGATCGCTGCGCTCTGCTGACATCGAAAAATCTTTTTCTTTAGCAACTTTTCGGTCTAAACTGCAATCTACGCGCCGGCCTGTAGTAACAGTCATGAAGTTCGCCGTTAGCAGGGTTGCCGTGCACTTTGTGCAGAGGAAACTTTGACTCAAAAAACCCACGTTGACAAGCGCTAAGAGTAATTGAGAACCGACAGCCTCTCAAGTGTATTGGGGTTATATTTTTCGTATTGCTCATTTAAAATTAATCCTACTGGTGGTAATCGAATCTAAGATAATGCACACAACCCAGGTCTAACAAAGTTTGTATTGACGGTAACTACATTATGTAAAATGAGAAAGCAGAAACGTAAGATCCAATAAATCAATCACTTTCAAATTTTCTTTCTCCCACAGAAGCGTCAGCCCTTCGATATTCTCCGCCTCAACGACTCCTTAACGCTCAGATCCCTAAAGCTTCCTAAGTATCGACCCCGGCCAAAAAACAGGTTATGAGCTCAGTAAATGAACTATACTAAAGCTACTAGGACCAAGGTTTTGATCAAAGATGCAATGGGAACAACTAACGCGACATGGAGACGATACGAGCGTGGTGTGTTCTTAACCAAGTCGATGTGGCACGCGGTGGGCCGTGAGATGTCTTCCAGCTATACCGATCCTCGCGCCAAGTCGATAACAGTGCAGCCGGGTTAATGTTGCTTCACATAGATGCAGATGCACTTGCAAACATTTTACAATCGCTGGCAATGAGCTGAATGCAAAATTTGGAGCGCCAGATCTTTAAGATAGTAGAAGGCGCCAACGTCTTGCATCACTGCATTGATATTCACAACATCAGTCCCAATCTTAGCAACATCGAGGGTGAGATGAAGGATAAGGGTGTTGCGATCCGTTTGTTGCGCAATCTCCCAAATTTTTTGATAACATTGTTCTGAACTCAAAACGAGCAGCACTGAGTTACCGAAGCAAGATGTCCTACAGGTTCTCACCAATGACTATGTAAAGAGACAGTGCGAGAAAATGGAGTCACTGACGATTAAAGTAGCAAACAAGGATTTCATTGGCGGGCGCGAATCTAGCCAATGTACCTTCTGCGGAATTTTGGGCACACGGTTGAGCGGTGCTGGGCCGAGCAAGGAGAAAGACAACAGAGGAGCTCGGAGTGGTGGGGATACGCTTGGATGTCAAGTTGTGCTTTTTATTTCGCTCCATTTGAACTTTTGCCAGCCAAGGGCGAAAAGTTCGCGTTATCGATAGTGACATTACTCATCCAAATGCTATGGTAAATCCAAGTTCATCATGCTCAAAGATCATAATAAAGGCGAGGTGTCAGCTGCAGATAGATACAAGGTTCAAATCAAAGATAATATCATTTTTTACCCGACGGTGACGAACGAGAGATCGAAATAAACAACACATTCTGCGGCTCAAGTACAAACAATACTTTATCCCCCAAATCAGTAAAAGAGGACACCACGTTACGTGCAAGGCACCAAACAAGTGACTGCCAGCGACGACTGCGTCCTTGACGCCACCATCGAAGACGGATGGTTCCATCCGACCCAGGCCTCCCACGGTGAGCATTAAGACCTTCGAGTGAAAGAATGGAGAGAATATACTTCTCTGGGTGAGAGAGGCCGAGATGGCTATGGCATGCGCCATACTCCAAAACGAGCAAAAGCGCGTGGCGCTAACTGTCTCCAAGCTCGGGGGTCGAGCAGGAGAATGGGCACTAACGTGCGGTGCTTCGGTTGAAGCTGCGTTTTATCCTTGAAGAAGCTGAAGCGTCGGCTTTTGCGAGTGTTCTCGTCGCCTAATCAGGCATATCGTGTGCGATCGCGTTTTCATGCTGCCTGACAGGGCAAGAAGGAGTTGGTGGACTTTGTCAAAGAGTTGAGAGATCTCATTGCCGGAATGACAGCAGGTACGCTCCCCAAGAAGGTCGCAGTGACCTTCCGATATGTTTCTCAAATGGCGCCTTTCATAGCGCGCGGCGATTGGTCTGCGCAGTTTCAAAACCAAATTTGCTTGGGAGAAATTACCAATCAACTGTATGCATCAACCAACTTTCCACAAAAGATCGCTATACTAAAGCCAAGCTAGCGAAAAGATAGGCTCATACGAAA